AAAAGCTGCAGAAGGAGTAAATACATTGGAATTTGGCTCATCGGTGCTTTGATCAACCTTTCCAGTTGCTTTGACTAGTGTTGCATCGCTTGGTAGCGTGCCTGGCGTTCGTTTTGTTCCCTTTAAGGCAGTAGCGGCAGCAGTTTATCGATCCTCCCTTCGATAGAAGCATTTCGCAACCTGGATGCTGCAGTCTGCTTAGCCTTTCTTTGGTGATTGCTAAAATTCACCACTCCGCGTTGTCGTGCGTGTAACGCGAAACCTAGGCATGTCTGGAAATCTTTGTAGCGAAGTGGCAATTTCGAGAACCAAAAAAACCGAAATTTTACCAAGAAGTCATAGAATATCCTGATAAAATCCCGGTATTTTTGTTTCTCGAAATTGCCACTTCGCTACAAATATTTTCTTTGTCTGCCAGCGTTTTGCACGGAAAACTAATCTCTGTGGCCTGCCTTTCCAGCTTTGTTGTATTTTCGTGTGATTGTTAAATTGTAGTGCGTTTCGAAGTACATTAATTTATTTCAGCATCTGTAGTGGCGGCTATGGTGAAGGATCGTAGCCGAAGCCGAGGTTAGCTTTTGCTTGAATTTTTTTTCAGGTAATTTCTATAATTTTCATTTACATTGCTATTTGTTAGCCTAATTTGCACTATTTTGTTTCCAGAAAGGGATCACGAAAGGCGACGTGGTCGGTCCCGTTCTCGTTCTGCAGGCCGATCGCGAGTGGCCGAGAAAGATCGTGGACGTCGTCGCAGTCAGGTTAGTACGGTGTTTTCATCTTTTATGTATTCTCAGATGATTCAAAGGCCTTATCCAAGTCTCCGGACATATCGGTCTGCGCCAGACACTATGGCAGTGAGACGCAGAGGCGTTGGGGAAGTAGTTTGAGTGGTAGCAAATGCCATCAGCAACTATTCGCTGGCAAGACTATCGATGGCTCCCTCTTCCGAGGATTGCTTACAAGCAAGCTGAAGGCGGATGGATCCCTGTATATCCAAATAATCTAGCTTTAGCCGTGCATGATTCAGAAAAATGAACATTTTAATGACACTTTTCCCAGCTATGCATAGATTAATCCATTAGCTTCTTGGTCGTTAGCTCTCCTCGGGTTATTTTCCCTTTTTCTCAGATTTTTCTATGCAGTGCAGATTTTTCCTTTTACCTGCATTTACGTATTCAGTGTTTTATTGAAATATCGAAGGATGTAATAAATGATTTCGAGATTTTCGTAGTTAACGCAAGATACGAAATATAATTTAGGGCCATCAAAACACTTCTTGATTTCGAGGTCTTCCCATCCATTTCATTAAAACACCTATTAAGGTCATCAGACTCGATATAACTGTTTTTTTTTTTGGTATGTTGCCAAATGAAGCTGTCGCTCATCGGCGTGCTACTTGAAACTGTACCCCCAGTATCTTCAAATAAGTAGTAGAACTGTGCATAAATTACAGTTCGATTTCCACTTAGAACTTTGTTACATCTCTCATTTGACTGGATTTTGTTTAATTCAGGAACGCCGACGCTCAAGAAGTCCGTTGGATCGAAGGCGTAGTCGAAGTAGGGAAAGAAGGGATGACTGGCGACGCCATGACGGCGTTGAGAAACCGCGAAAGTAAGATGTTTTCGAATGCTCTTTTTTTCTGCTTTGTGAAATTCTCCCCCTCCCCTCCCCTCTTTTATGTATGTTTTTTGCAGCCTTCTGGGTTTTGATCGTATTATCAATTTCTTGTGCTTTTCTGGCCAGTCGTACCCTGACTTTTCCTATCAGTCCTACTTAATCCTTCTGGTCATTTTTGCTTTTCTTCTAATTGGTCCAGATTTTTCCTAATTAATCTTCCTTCTTCTGATCGGTCCTGCTTTATTTTTACGGTCG